TATCGCTCTCCATATTTAAAAGGGCACCAACCAAAAACTACTGCGTAGAATTAATTGGAATTTTTCACACACAAGCCTTGCTATATGAGGTCTCAAAGCATATAAAAATTATACGGCTTAAATGTGAAGTTGGGTGCAAAAGAATACAATTAAAATTGGTAAAATTGGACATGTTCTTGACTTCTCAATTTTTTTACAGGTTTTAAAATAAAAAAAGACAGCCTGATTTTTTTAAATAATTACGACTTGAGTATGTCTGAAGAATTATGGGATAATCCAGATCGTTTCAAACCGGAAAGATTCGTTGTGGACAACCAATTTATGAAACCTGAACATTTTCTACCTTTTGGAGGAGGTCGGCGCAGTTGTATGGGTTACAAAATGGTTCAATTTGTCGCCTTTGGAATGCTAAGTAGAATACTGCAATCTTTTACCGTTAAGCCGGTAAATGGTACCTGCTACAAAGTACCAGTTGGAAGTTTGGCATTATCTAAAGACACTTTCGTATTCAAGTTTGAAAAACGGGTACAATAACTCATCCTGTGAGAACAAGTTCCATAATTTGTGATATTTTTTTAGATGTAATTAGTTTATTGATAACAAGACTTAAAATTGAAGGAGTATTAAATGAAGTATTGGTATAAAATTAGATAATATGTTTTTATTTTTGTATTTTACTATTGTTGTTTAATATTTTGTAGTTATTTGTATAAAACAAATAAAATTAGTACGACGCAAAATGTCGTCAAACTCAAGTTACTGTTCTTATCATTTTATCTATCGTGTCTATTCCGATTCTTTATGAAATGAAGCATTTATAACCCCCTTTGGTTCAAATACATATCTTAGTATTAATAGCAGTAAAAATTGGTGCTTGATGAGTTCATTTAGTATTCGAACAATAAATTATGCGATTAAGAAATTCAGAAGTGAAAGCGCAATTATTTGAAAGGAATAGGACTGACCTGATTTAGAAAGTGACCTCAATTCGCTACAAAAATCAGTTTATTCTGCCCTATAACCTAGAACCCTCCTTTCGGATGAAATGTGTGCCTCAACAAAACCATAAATAAAATTTCTTTTTATGCCTTTCCAAATGTATTAAATATTCATATGTAAAAATAGAACAACGATTGGACATCATAATAAGATCGTCAGTCCTAAGACTTGTTGGACATGCACATTCACTCTTTCCTATCCTGAACTAATCTTCGCATTTCCTTAAAACTAGAACACCCCACATCCTTAACTATTTGCGAACAGTAATCTAATCTAGGTCTACCTCTACTCCTCTTAACTCCCGTTTCTGTCTCTGACTAGACCTTCTTCTTGTCCTACCAACCTATCTCGCCTATTTCTTCTTGACTTCCATAGAGTCCTCTGTTCTCCAATTTTTTTTTTAATATCTCTTCATTTATAACCTCCTCTATCCACGGTATCCATCATTGGCCTGTAACATCACATTTCGAACGCTTTTAACCTTTTCTTTTCCGCCGCGCCCACCGTCAATGTTTTGCACCCGTACAGCGCCACGCTCCAAACATACACCTTTTGCGAATTTCTAAATTAACCGTTCGCGAAGATAGAAGTGACTTCTTTTTATTGAAGGCAACTCGACTCTGCGTTGTCCTCTGCTTTATATCCCTACTACTCCTTCCGTCCTGACTTATCTGACTTCCTAGATACCTAAAATCAGTTATTTTTCATCTCCTATTTTTATATTCGCTCTTTCCCTGCTTTTTTGTTTTACTTTTATTTATTTTCATACAATGTTAATGTAAAATTTTCTACAATTATGAACGAACAATTGTTCGTATATAGCAATAATATCATACGATCTATAAATAAGGCTATGAGCTATGACGAAAACAGTATTGCAAGTACTCAAGTACAACCTATGTGATATAATTGATAGAAAACGTGACCGTAGTAAACAATGCGTAGATATTTGCTTAATGAACAAAGAACAAAGTAGTAAATTATGCCGTTTTATTAGATAGGTATAATGCTAAGTTAGTTCCGGCTGTATTTGGCTAAATGAACATTTTCTGAATAGCCTCGTATACTATATGCTTCAAGGAAGTCCCTATGTATGTAAGTAAATTTTCTTTTTAAATTAGGTACCCAAAAATGTTTCGTCAAAAATTAGTTTATGGGCCTAATAATTAGTAATCAAGTAGCAACTGATATGACTACTACACATAGTAAATGAAAAGGAAAATTAAATTTTATTTTATAAGCCAAGATATAAAAATTATCCTCATTTTGAAAAACTTCTATTTAACTTGTCCTTTTTGTGTAATATTTTTGTCTGCTGCGATTATAAAAGTCAATATTAAGCCAGTTCTTGTTATAAAAACTATACTTTAGGGTACAGAAAACTATACCTAAAAACTAGTACCGACATTACTGATATTAGTATTGTATTTTATTGTATTGTATATTAGTATGACCAATAGATTTCCCATTATAAACTACCTTAGGTTAATGAGTAAAAATTTGTTGCTGTTCTTTGTTTGTTGAAAATGAATTTGCACATTTATATTTGATATTAACCAATAGATTTCCATTTCTGTAAATTAAAAATTACATTTTACAAGCAATAATGTTTGGATAACTCATAGTACGCTTAACGAATTTTTATTCGATTGTCCGGAAATTCTGAGAACGACGATTGAGAATTTCCTTGTCAACACGTTTTTCAATAAATAAATAATTATTCCCTTCATAGAGACTTTTTCACTCGTATATTTTGTATAAATATTTATGGAAACGTCTCAAGGTAAGCGAGAGATCCCATTTTATTTTGAATAAGGAATCGTTTTCGGTCTAGCCTAGTAAAAACTCTATTTTTATTGTTGAAAAATTGACGTAGCCAATCGATTACATTAGCATTTATATGTAACACAAAATGATACGAATTTTTTACATTTTAAAGACAGAAAATGCACAGAATGTTTCGTTTTTGTGTCTCCGTTTGTATTTAATTGTGAAATGATTAGAGATTTGCAAAATGATGCAAATAAATACATTTTTTAGTACCTATTTAATTTTCTACAATAAGACACTTTTCCAAACATATTTTTTATTTGTAAAATGCAAAGTAAAATAAAAATTTTGCTAGTATCATCGATTAAACATTATATAAAATGATGAATGAAAATTGCTCACATTGACCATTGAAGGTATTAGAGCTTGAAAACGAGACAAAGAGACATTCCATAAATGCCTTTTAATTCTCTGACTGAAGAGAGTCGAAAAAATTCTAAACTCTTTGGAAATGAATAAATAATCCAAAATATTGGATCGATATTGTTTTCCGGGTTCAGTGTCATGTTTCATGGAATTTTGAAGTTCCAAATTGATATTAGCACCTGCCAAATGGAACTGTAACAAAACAGCCCGCAAAGTAATATCGATTGATAAACGCCAGCTGTTTAAAACTGAAAATTACAAGATGTTGTGTTGTGCTAATAAATGTATATATATAATCCAATTAAAATTGGTAAAATTGGACATGTTCTTGACTTCTCAATTTTTTTACAGGTTTTAAAATAAAAAAAGACAGCCTGATTTTTTTAAATAATTACGACTTGAGTATGTCTGAAGAATTATGGGATAATCCAGATCGTTTCAAACCGGAAAGATTCGTTGTGGACAACCAATTTATGAAACCTGAACATTTTCTACCTTTTGGAGGAGGTCGGCGCAGTTGTATGGGTTACAAAATGGTTCAATTTGTCGCCTTTGNAGTGTCTTTTTTCCAATTAAAACGGGTGACAAAGGTAAATAAGGAAGCATATAGAAGAATTATTTATTGCTGAACTGAAGAAACTATAACATAAATATAGAAAAACTATATCTCAATCACTTCAAACAGAAAAATATGAATCATTCTTAATCTTTCTACAGTGCAAACACCACTATTAGTCTAGAAAAACTCCAATATTTAATTTTTGATTAAAAAATTGTTATTTGTTGTATTTTGCAACCTTGAATACTTTAGTTCATAAACATTATAAGCTCGTTCCGACGATTTCAACTCAACCCTCTTGATGAAAATCCACCAACCAAAAATTAATATTTCATTGGTGGAGGTGGTATTTAATGGTTAGACCCCGGTTATTCGGTACCCAGCAAAATCACTATCGGGTGCATCTTTACTTCACACGGTATTTAATTAAAATTTCTTGTTGCGGGCCATCCATTGGTGCGCTATCTCTAATAGTTCGCCAGATATGTTACCGTAAACGTTCAATTCTCGATTTCAAAAATAACACTAGGTAAAAGCTTTCGACAGCTATAACTTTTAAATGAAATCCTGTGGACTCAGGAAAACGCTAAAAATAACAATAGGGTAAATTGCGCGAATTGCGTCGGCTCTAGCGCAGACCAGGAATGGGGTAGGTCCAAACTGTTTCCGCCAAAAACTTCCCACACTTATTGGGCTTCGAATGAGCCATGTTTGGTTTGTATGAGACGGCAGGCTGCGGAGCTATGAATTTTCAAAGGCGACCATGTCCGTGAGCGCAATATTTTCAAATTTGACCTTTCCAAGCCCGTAGCAGGAAAACGATAGGACTTATCGGAAAAATTCTTTCACAGGCGGATGGCCCGGCTCAGTGCGAACATTATAGGACGTTTCACTTTCAAACGATGAATATATAGTTCATAAATCCAGTACCTACCATCGTTGGTTTTTTCTGGTCACAAAAAAATTACTAATTTTTCTAATAGAGAGACGAAAACAACTGGAATAATTTCAACCCGGGTTATCTAACGAAATATGCATCAGTTTTATTATAAATTCAAAGGAATTAATTCGGGACAAAAACGGCAACTGTCGTCCTATCGTCCACCTTCTTCTTCCTTTATACATTTATACAGTATTATAAAGACAAACTGTATCACAACCGACAGTCGACCTTCTCCAAAGCTCTATGAATGAAACATTGGAAATTAACATTGAATTTTCAAATGCCTCTTATGTATATATACCGCCAACGCAAAATAGATGATATAAATAAATATCGATAAATTATTCTCATCTTACATATGGACTATGAAGATACGAATCCATTTCGCTTTTACGTATACAGGGTGTTTTCAAATAAAAAAAGCTGCGACTTTTTTTAATTATTAATAGTGGTTAATATGAAATATTAATGTGAAAATTCATTTTCAATTTTCCATACACTACAAACTACCTCAGGTTAAAGAGGGAAAATTTGTGTTGCTGTTGTCCCGGCGGGGGTTTAACAAAAGCAACAAAAATTTTCCCTCTTTAACCTGAGATAGTTTGTAGTGGATGGAAGATTGAAAATGAATTTTCACATTAAAATTTAAAAAAAATTACTCGAAACAGGACTGTACTTAGGATTGACGACCTTATGAAGGTGATGGTCAAAACACCAATATTCGCACTGCTTCAGAGAGAAAAATAATATCCAGTAATTACAATATAAACATTAACATTAAGGGAAAACTTACATAGGGTGTGTTCCGAAATATAACCCAGCATAGTGGCCAGTGCTGATGACGTCATGAATCGACGCCATACTGTTGATTCGTTCCGAAATATACTGGCCAGTGCTTTGGCGTCAAATTGACGCCATATTGAGAATAGAGCTTGTGCTCGTTTACAACACTTGTTATTACTAAGTTATTAAAGTTTCTTACAACAAAAAATTTCTCAAAGTCAGATACACACACAACCGTTTGATTTACTACTACATCACACTTGTCTCACCAGTACAATATGGTGGCACACCAGTACAACATGGCGCCGATTCATAACATCATCAGCACTGGCCAGTATTCTGGGTTATATTTCGGAACACACCCTATGTAAGTTTTCCCTTAATGTTTATGTTTATATTGTAATTACTGGATATTATTTTTCTCCCTGAAGCAGTGCGAATATTGGTGTTTTGACCATCATCATCATAAGGTCGTCAGTCTTAAGACTTAGACACGCACCACCACTCTTCTCTTCACCTATCTTTAAGTTAACTTAACTTAACTGTTTGTAAACAGTAATCTAATCTAGGTCTACCTCTTACTCCTCTTAACTCCTGTTTCTGTTAATAATGTGTTTCTGATTAGCCCTTCATGCCTGACAAGGTGTCCTACCAACCTATCTCGCCTATTTCTTATTGACTTCTACAACGCTTCTAACCTTGTTCATGTAAAGTAATAAAAAACCTTTCATCCAGAACCACATTAATTTCTTTATTTTAATTATTTGATTTTTTATAACGTTAACCACAACTGATCAAAAGATTTGAAAGTTAGGAGATGCATAAGTTTAAAAAATATAAAAATTCAAGCTTACTAACGTAGGGAAGGTCGTTAAATAGTAATATTTAATATTCCCACTCATATCCACTGTGGTAAACCACACAATTTCACCAACTGAATTCCTTGAAATCATACCCTCTGTGGTAGGTAAACCTTACAATTGCACCAATTGAATTCCTTGAAATATGCCAACTTCAACACTAAAATGCCAACTCATAACAAAAACCGAGTTTTTATTCGGATACGTGTAGTACGCCACTGACTATTTGTAAATTGAAAAATCCCCGAAATTCATAATGGGTGTAAATGATATACCGCGAATAGCGAATTTGATGGGAATACAAATGAATACGAACGTTTCTGAAACTGCCTAAATATTTGTGTTGGAAAGTATTGCATAAATACATAACATATTATGCAGGCGGTATAAATAAATACAAATTAGGTAAAATTGAAATTAGATATCCCAAACATTTCCTCTACTGCAATATAGAACGGATATCGCTTTTAAATATTTTAAATTACAAATGTTATAGCAAAATTTGGTCAAAAAACAAAAACATTAACCAATAAACATTGCAAAATTTCGGTACCTGTACCTGTACCAAATNATAGTTGTAGGACTATTGAAATAAAATGCAATGCTTTTTAAAAATGAAGAAATAAATTGTAGAATTCAGTTGAGTATTTACGAAAAAAATTTGTCAATTTTTAGACAGAAAACCAAAAATTTATTGCTTTGTTCTTATCGTTACTACATGAAAACCATTTAATTGAAAAATAAACAGTACAATTCTTTCATATCAACAAAGTGTTTTATCTGCATTTTTAACTATAAAAATCTTTCTCTATATTAAATTAAATTAAATCGTATAAAAAGTACAATAAACAATTTAAAAACATGCAGATTATACTAATACCCAAAAGGGAGAGAAAACATTCATGTACAACAGTGCTTAGTGTCAAGAAATGAAAATTATTTTCTTAAATAAGTTAAAATTGATTTCTTAATTAAAATATAGCTAGGAGACGTCTGTACAATATAGGAACAGGATTGTTAAACAAGAAAATAATATTTGCTTATGTATGTTATCATTATCTCATTTTCATAGTAATTAGTCATTTAAATACATTTAAACGAACGTAAATTAAGTATAGAACTTTCATAGTAATTGGAATACGAACAATAATCAAATACATAAAAAACATCTTACATTCTTTTGTAACACAATTAAAAGTTCGATTTTGAATTTTCTATTCCATTGTCTGCAGAAAACATACACATTTCCTCTAATATTCAAATTTAAAAATAATCAGCTGATAACTCCATTAATTAATTTATTTTATTTATAATATAATAAATGGCAAAAGTAAATGCATGTGACATCTGTTGTTTAATAGAGGAATTATTTTCAAAAGTTAACTTCCACGAACACACAAAGATGGCACACCCAGTACCTTTTTCAATTAAATTAAATTTCAAATTCTTTAACTGAATTAATTTACCCATTTTCGTGTTTTTTCCAAAGTCTTGAGTCTTATTTTAAGTCGACAAAGCTACATTGACTCTTAAATATTTTTTTTGTAGAATTAAACGAAGATAAAATAAAAAAAAAGGTTGTGTACATTGATAGACATATATATTTCAGTGTGCCGGCCATTGCTGTGCACGTTGGTAATTCTATTAAAAATTGGTTTTAGAATTATTTAAAACAAATAAAATAGAGCAGATATGGCCCAAAGTAAATTAAACGATCTCGCTGGCAAATTTGGTAAAGGTGGACCACCAGGATTAGGAATTGGATTAAAATTATTAGGTGTTGGTGCAGTGGCCGCTTACGGTGTTTCACAATCTTTATATACAGGTAATTAACTTCAAATACAATAATTCCACCTATTTTCTAACTAACATGATAAGTTGGATATTTTAGGTAATACTATTTACTTAGAATTAATTTATTTTTGTGTGTAACTTTTAGGTTAGGTAACCTCACATTTTCTTGTTTTTTTACATAAAATCATGATTTTTAGTTGAAGGAGGTCATCGTGCCATAGTATTTAACAGAATTGGAGGCATTCAGAATGATATTTTCACAGAAGGATTACATTTTCGAATACCCTGGTTCCAATACCCCATTATTTATGATATCAGGTCTCGCCCCCGCAAGATATCATCTCCTACAGGTTCAAAGGACCTTCAAATGGTCAATATTTCGCTACGTGTCTTATCTCGACCTGACGCCTCACAATTGCCAACAATGTACAGAAATTTAGGACTCGACTATGATGAAAAAGTGCTACCTTCAATTTGCAATGAGGTGTTAAAATCTGTAGTTGCCAAATTCAATGCAGCTCAACTTATTACCCAACGGTCTCAGGTAATTCCCCAAATAGTAATTGCGCTTTTAAATGTGTATGTAAATTAAGTGCAACAGATTTTAATGACATTAAAAATTTAGGTTTCATTGCTTGTCAGAAGAGAGTTAGTAGAGAGAGCCAAAGACTTCAATATTATTTTGGATGATGTGTCAATAACTGAATTGTCTTTTGGAAAAGAATATACTGCTGCCGTTGAGGCCAAGCAGGTGGCCCAACAGGAAGCCCAAAGAGCTGCTTTCTTTGTAGAGAGGGCCAAACAAGAGAAACAGCAGAAGATTGTGCAGGCTGAGGGAGAAGCTGAAGCAGCTAAAATGATATCCTTATTCTTGTTTTATTTAATTGAACCTTTATAGAAAAGTTAAACATTTGTTTATAATGTTTTCCTTAATTTTGCTTACTTAGGAGAGGCTATGAGTCGAAATCCAGGATATCTGAAACTAAGGAAGATTAGAGCAGCACAGAATATAGCAAGAACGGTATGTCTCTTACCTATTATGTTCTTTATTGTAAATAAAATGAAATAATTTTCACTTATTAGTGAATGAATTAATTTTCCTTATTGTATAATTATTTTGCCACTCACAATAAAACTACTCATAGCTTTTTTCCATGCTGGGAAACTGAACTCATTAATGCTTTTCTCTTACATGGTCTGACAAAGTACTTATATTTATTTCAGATTGCAAATTCACAGAATAAGGTGTACCTTAGTGGTAATGGTCTTATGTTAAATATTTCTGATCCTGAATTCGATGAACAGTCCAACAAACTGATAAAACGTAAGAATTAAATCTTACAGTTGTTGTAGTGTGTATGTATGATATCTTTTTTTAAAATTGTAGTATAATAAAGTGGAATTTAATTCTCATACATTATACTAAGAATAATTAAAAAATAATGTAAAAAATCAGAATGTTATTGCCTTTGATTTTGATATAAAATGTTACTTTTAAAATAAACAGAAAAATGAGCGAATTTTATGACTTTTATTTTCTTCCTTACTTTAAATTTTGTATCCTGTTTTCTCTGAAAAAACACTGTACTACATTTTACTTGTAACCGTACCTTTTTCTTTTTCTTGTCCAAATTAAGACTTAATCATAACTTAAGTCTGTACTGATCCAATTTTTCTGTGAATCAATTAGAGCAGCTACTCATTCATTTCTTTCTTAATTTCGTCCGTAAAAATAGGCTGCCCTACCTTCCAGCTTTGCACTACAGTGTAGATCAAAAGGATTGCTTGTCCACCAGCATTAGTAGGTAGTAGGAATGAAACGAAAAGGTTTTCATCTCTTATTTCAGTTCCCAAAGTGTGTCCTTTAATTTTTTGAGCAACCCTTATATTTATCCTTTGGAAAGTGTTTTTCAAAGTTAATTTTCATCTGAACTTGTGTGATTCAAGTTAAGTAAAGTGTAGTATGGTGTATTTTAAAATGTTAACATTGATGTTTATAACATCTTTTATTTTCTTAGAGCCTCTAAAATGGTTTAGGACATCAAGCTATAATTTTAATCAACTCAATGCAAGTGAAGACAAGAAAGTGCCTCAAAACTTTGGAATTGGACCTTCGCAGGATGAGAACACAAAATCAGAAAATAAATTGATAAAAGCAGCCAAACATTTAGTGGACAGAATTAAAAATAAAGAATACCATGAGAATACAGGGGGCGATACGAAAAGTTTACAACAGAACAAGGTTCTCATCGAAACTGCCAATAGTATGGCACATAAATTAACTAAAGATACCCCAATTATTAATTATTAACAGNGTTAGGGATTTAGATTCCTACGTATATAATTTCTGACTTATACTTTCCTTATGTTGACAAGAATTATCCATCCACAACGACTATCATCGAATGCCAAATTTGACCCTTGTTAATCAGAAAAAGAACCGACGATTACAACTTTTCTAATCTTTTTGTATGTGTAATTAAATACTAATTAATAAAAGAACTCAGTTTTGATTCTTTGTGTGATTTTCTTCGATTCCCGGTGGGTGCAATACCTTCTTTATGAATCGTAAGGTATTTTCAGTTCGCTTAGAGAAAGGTACACGATTCCATATACGATGTGCAAGGGTTGTCCTCATGGAGGTAAGTACTAAGGTAAAAATTATTTAAGCCACGGAAATGATAAAATAACAGAAGCAGATCGTGCGCCATTATGCGTGTCGCCTGCGGTGTACTTTTCTCTAAGTGAACGGACTTTAAATTAATTTAAACAATTCGCTGAATTTCGACTGCGGACGGTACTAGTATTAGATCCTTTAATTTATAAAAGTGCGTAATAAAAGATTTATTCTGTAAATGCACTATATTTGTACAAAGGTATTTGATACATTAAGGCTTGCTTTATAAAAACTTGAAAAAATTATCAAATATCAATAAAAAGGCAGTGCTTATCTCCAAATGGCATTCCAAATTGTTATGGCCTAATTTTTTTTTCGTTTTTCGTTTAAAATACACGAATTATTCAAAATTACAATAATTAACTTCCTAATTAAAAAGATGCGATACTTAATATTCACTGTTCAGTGGCGGGTACAAAGAAAGGGCAAAAAGGGGTAGTTACTTTATGATGAGCTAAATGATCATCGATCATGTATAAAAAAGAATACAAAAATCTTAATCGGCCACAATCTAGTTACAATAACAATAAAAGATCCATTCGTACAATATTAGTATTATTCTAAAACACCAATTTATGTATAGAGGAAGGCAGCGATGGTAATCGAATTAAATCAAACAATTTTCAATTACCTAATTTCTCTACCAACCCCCTATCTAACTTCAAATGAACATATATCTATACTAGAATATGCATAAGAAAAAGAGCCTTGCGTAAGGTAATGAACACACTGGTTTCAATTTTTTTCCCACATAGCAAATATGCGACCAATAATTTTAAAAATCCTACAATAAGTAACATAACATCATTTAATTTTTGTTTTCATAATGGTCAACTACACGCTAACGATTAATAAACTATAACAAATACACCGAGAAACAATTGCTAAGCAGAAAGCGATACGAAGGGCAACAGTTAAAATACGATCCCAGTGGTGTAGACAAGTACATACGTACATTTTTTTTGTACCTATAAAAGATTTAATTTTTTTTTGGTGTCGATCCTATGTGCATGGGGTTTATAAGTTCGATTTTTTGCGTATGAATCCCGGGTTCCTTCGTTGTCTACGCCACTGGTAGATTGCTATCTATGTACTCTAATAAATAGTTACTGGCCAGTTTTGGACCCAAAATTCAAAATTTCTAGAATACTTTTTATATCACAGAATGACGACTTAAAGAGCATAGCTAGAATTTTCAGTGTTGCACAAAAATTTTAATTACGTAAACATACAGAGTGTCCAAAAGATATTTATAGTGAGAATCTTTAAAATATCAACGAAAAAAGGTAAATTTTAAGGACACGCTAATATACAAAGTGTTTGAAAGGTACCGTAGCTATTATAGATACAACAATTTTGAAGATGGATGAAAAAACGGGAAGGAAAACAGACCCATGGGCGTAGCTAGAAATTTTTCTTAGGAAGTGGGCAGATTTTTAATGTGTGGTTTTTATGATTTTAAATTTCATGCTGATATTGTCAGAGATTTCACCAGAGAGGGTAATGAATTTGCTAGCAGGCGGGCAGCGCCCCTATCTATCTACGCCCATGAACAGATCTACAGGGTGTCGAAGATATATGGCATACAATAAATATTTATATGGCACCTGAAATGTTGAATTGCTTTCGTAAATACGTTTGAACAATATACCCCAGAGATCTTTTTGTAATTTTGTTTTTAACTCGTTGTTATTAACTAATTAATGCACAACACTTTCAAAGCATTTGCGTTCAGTATTGCACATAAAGCTATAGAGAATGTTCTCGTTTTATTCGGGAATGTCCTGCGGTCAACTAGTTTTCATCGTTTGTTTCAAAACGTGTTCGATATTTATACAGTCGAGAACCGCCGCCCCCACTGAGCTTCTTCTTATTGCCATCGAAGACACTATGAACCATTTGTTCAATTTTTGATCGTACCTTTCAACTGCATTCAAACTAGACGAGCCATCATTTCCTCCAATCGCGTAAATGTAACCGTCAATGGCTACTATTTCATGAGTCGATCTGATAATGAATAAAATACTGAGTTTTGTTGGGGAGAAGATAGAAAAACTTGGGAACTATTTATTTATGGGTCTTATTTTTTGCCCTAGTTTTTTTCTTTTAAATTACAACAAAGGAAATACCTACTACTAAATTTACTATTTGTTTTTTAAGTTATACTTCTTTCAAATTGCAACGGAAGTTGCGCGCGCAACATAAAACTGTCAACGTCAACTAACAATCTTCTTTTTAGGTTATGTCGAAAAGAACCGCTACTATTAGATTATTTTTTTAAAATCTCAGATTTATCAAGATACGAATTTAGTTACAGACTTTAGGTAAATTTTATAAAATGTCCCCGACGTTTAGAGGCATTGTGAGGTAAATACAATGCCAATAAACAATTAAAAACCGTTTAACCAAGAGGCCAACAATTGTCCGTACTGGCAACCCTTAATGGTTTATTTCTTACCTTCTGTTATGCATTGATGTCACCGGTTCCCACATATTTCTCCGAATATTGAATCTCTCTCCGCTAGACATACACATTGTACCATCATTTCCTACGAAACAAGTCAATACATAATCAAAACATGAATTAAAAGGCAACTTAGGTTTATTTGAAGATAGAACGCCTTTTTATTGTACGTGCTTACCTCCTATGCAATACAAATAACCATTCATGGCAGCCACCCCACAACTGCTTCTTCTGGAAGACATTGATGGTACCGCGTGCCAACTGCCCATTCGGGGATCAAACCTAAAGAAAAAGACAATTTTTGCGTTCTCAATAGAATTATTTCATCATCATCATCATCATCATAAGGTCGTCAGTCCTAAGACTGGTTGGACACGCACCTCCACTCTTTCCTATCCTGAGCTAATCTTCGCATTTCCCTAAAACTAGAACAGCCCACATCCTTAACTATTTGCGAACAGTAATCTAATCTAGGTTTACCTCTACCCCTCCTAACTCCTGTTTCTGCCTCTAATATGTCTCTGACTAGACCTTCATGTCTGAGAAGGTGTCCTATCAACCTATTGACTTCCATAGAGTCCTCTGTTCTCCTACTCTTTCTAATACCTCTTCATTTCTAACCCTCTCTATCCTCGTTATCCTCATCATCCGCCTATAACACTACATTTCGAACGCTTCTAACCTTTTCTTAATAATAAATTGCTATGAATATTACGTGTTCAAAATTAGACTTTTACTGTTTTAGATTGTCTAAAAATAAACACAGCAAGATATCGTGTGTGGAAGTTGTCAGATTTTCCACTATTAATTCGCTCCAAATCCAGAAACTTCCCGAGCTGTCAATCTAAAGTTCATAAAGTGCGTGCGTTTTATCAAAAATTGATTTTCTGTTCTAATTTGAAGACCCAATAAGCGTACCAAACTATTGATGATTAATTTCATTTGATCAAGTACATTGCACGCAAATAAAATTTCATGATATTCATTCATTCATTCATGATATATAATAAGTTGAAATGCGTTTTATGAAGTTATTGGTTAAAAGTATCTTATTACCTTTCAACTGAGGCTTGGTAGTTGGTAGAATCGAACCCCCCCAGGGCATATATTGAATTATCTGAAATACCATAAAAAGTACCTACTTCACCAAAAGAACAAAGAAGAAGCTAACAGAAAAACGTTAAAATAGACGTATTTTTTCTATCTTACCAACAACAGCTACTCTACAGTACCGTCTCCTTGTGTTCATCGCTGGACAACTGCACCAGACCCCTGTTAGTGGATCAAATCTTTCCATGCTACTCAAACATGATGCGCCATCGTATCCGCCGCAAACATATATCAATCCATCGAAAGAGCAAACCCCTACAATATTGTTTTTGGTAATAGCTGGGCGTTTTTGGGTTAAAAGTAATTTATATTAGATTACCCAAACAAGATCGCTTTGTGCCCATGGGGGTTATACTTGTCCAAGTGTTTATCAGAGGGTTGTAACACTCTGCACTAGCTAAGTCTGAAGCACCGTCGTATCTGTAAGATTTATTCATTGTACCGATGAAATTGAGGAATTTTCATTTAAGCAAAACGAGCGAAAATGTCAATAGTTTTGGTATCAGAGAATCGAAAGTATTGATGCCAAAACAAGAAGAAAAGATATAATACTTTACATATTTCGTAAATCTTACCAAATAAGTTTTTCTAACCAATAACTTGGAAATAAATTCAATTTTCTAAATAACATACTGAAAATACTTACCCCCCAACAACATACAATAGTCTCCTCATCCCTGTCACACCACATCGGGACCTTCTCCATTGCATGGGAGCAATGGTGGACCAAACATCGTTTTTTGGATTGTATACTTCACATTCCGAATGAATTGCAAAAAGTGAACCACCTCCTAAACGAAAAAGAAAACACTGTGAACAAACTAAATTTCCGGATTCCGACTATTATCTTCTTGACATGATCCCCATGATGTCGTCAAACGTGTTCAACGGTTCGTTCCCTATCACGTTATCGTGAAGTTCCTGAAATTGTTTCTTATGATAGGATACAAAACATTTGACGCCATCATGGAGATTTCTTCGAGAAGATGCAGTTAGAATCCGGAAATCCAAATTCTTCAGACGACATCCGTGAAAACCTAAATCAACTTCATTTAAGGGAGTGTTGGACTGTTTTAAATTTTAGTTCCACAACCCAGTAAAGTCTTTTATATCTATTTCATTTTGTTCGTATTTGTAGTGGTAATATGTAATCTTGTTAGCAAACTTTCACTCGATAAATTAAAATTCAATTAGCTCTGGTATGCAGCTGGTCTATAATAATAATAAATATGACGCCTGCTATTGATAAAGTTACAATTGCTAGTATAAAACAACTCCTTATCATTCTAATACATTCAGACGAATGTAATTAACGGTATTAATAATACTTCTTTACCTGGCCGAATCAATTTTTTACGAGAATGCCATGTTTTTGTGTTGTAATTACTTCGTTGGTGGTGTCTATTCTTGGTTTGGTGTATTTGATACAAGCCTTGGTGGCGAGTGTTTACAGTTAGTTGGTTTACAAAATTTCTGAACTTTTGTAAGTAGAAATGGTAAGCCCTTATCAATATACGTAATTGTTTATAAACTTATAGCAAAATTATCTATAGATTATCTAGAGTTATATCGGTTTGATATATTTTTGATATGAGGTTGTTTTCCTCTTAATATTTTTTCCAGTTGTTTAAACGGATTTAATAATAATTTTCGATTGTAGAGTAGAAAGTTAAGTACAGGGGAAAAGGCCCCTTAAAAAAGTAAATTACTTGTTGAGTGTGCTCCGAAACAAAAACTAGATCGGGGACTTTTTTCACGCATTATATGAAGAAATCGGTTTGCCTTCAACGAAGCCACTTTGGTTACATTTCACCCCCGCATCGTCAATCATTCTTGACAGAATTCAATTAAATTTATATATAACACTTTCCGGAACTTATCCCTTCTCGAATCGCAGATGTGCATTATTCGATCAATAAATTTTTGGGGGAGCTATGTTGACGAAAAGTTACTTTAACTACCTACCGTACTTAATTTATTAACAGAATTATAAAACTGATAAATTATATACAGGGTGAATGTATTAACTGGTTTCAAATGTACATATTTAGAAATACAAAAAGTTGACCAATTAGTTGTTTGAAAAATTCTAAGACATATTTTCCTTTGCAGTTTTTCAATCTAATTCTTAATTGCGCTGTTATAAGCAAGTGATGTTCAATCAGTTTGTTGTTTTGCTGCAAGCTGAAAGAAGCATAGAGGCCTGTGATTGGCTTACGCATGCTTGCAGCACAAGCAGCGCGCTATGATTGGTTGATTATTTCAATTGGTAATAGCTTCATAAAGAAGCATCAGATTGAAAAGCTTCAAAAGAAATAAACTCATAGAATTTTGCAAAGAATCCAATATTGTAGACTAGCGACCCGCCCCAGCTTCGCAGGGGTGCAATGCTGATACTAAATATACTACAGAATTTCTTCATATACAACATTCACAGTTTTTTTTGTCATTAGACAATACAAACCGGCCTCCCGGCCGGTACCGCCACAACCGCTATGTCCCTGCATTTTAAATCTGTAATATCTTCGGAAATATTAATTTAAATTACATGCTGTAAAGGGCCATATTGATCTATATTAAATGCACAATGTATTTAAGGTACTTAATTGGATAAGAATTAATGCTGTATTGCTTAAAATCGCTTCGTAAGTAAGCCATTATTTCTCATAAAAGTCAAGAATAAAAAAATGATTATTGTGGCTTATCCCTAAGAAATAGACATATAACATCCCGGACTTTTTTGTAGACCTTTTCAAGATGTACAATACTGTGCTACATTATTTTGATCTATCTCGTAGGGTTTAGCCATCGTTTGCAATGTAAGCTCAAAAAATGAGTTTATTTACGACATCACATTAGAAACCCTAAAATTATCAGTGTTTCTCTACTATATTATGCATGTATTATACATATAAACCTTCCTCTTGAATCACTGTATCTATTAGAAAAACCGCATCAAAAGCCGTTGCGTAGTTTTAAAGATCCAAGCATACATAGGGACAGACAGCGGGAAGCGACTTTGTTTTATACTATATAGTGATACTTTATAGGAAGAATTTTTGATGTTGTTTATATTTACATAGTTTTTAAGACTGCATTTGAGGTAAATACGATAATACAGTTTTCAGTTTCGTATTATTTTCAGGAAAAGGCACTTACCAATGGCAAACATATACGGCGTGGCTCCCTTGGGTTTCCTTTCCAGTGTTCTAGGAGTTGAAAGGGCACAGCGTCTTTCAGGGGCCAGATGATATCTCATAGCTTCTAAGAGCAATTCTCTGCATTGACCATCTTCTCTTATGAGATTCTCGCAGTCCACTCGTGTCATTAGAAATTCTCGATTTACTAAGGGTAGCCGAACGTTTTCCATTAACTATTGTATGTGCAATAAGAAGTAATGTCACCCAGAATTGCAATTATTACTATAGATAGTCTGTTGTTTGTTTAAAAATACGAAAATTTATTTAATTCTTTTTTAATTTTTATTGAAATATGTTTTCATTCTTTGTAACTGTATATGTTGGAAATGAAATTAACAATTTTCGTAATAAAAATCCTTTAGAAGGGTAAAAGATGGTATTTAGTTGTAGTAAATTACAAACCAGTGTCTCAACCTTTTGGTATAATATTTTTCCAAGGATTGCAAATTAATAGTTTTCTACTTTTTATATGTCTTCAGAATATAAATTTGAGAAACGAAGCATCTTGAAAAATTGGAATAGAATAAAAAACACCAGTATAATACTTTCTGAGCTGTCGGAGTCGTCTAGACTTATAAAACTGTTTTATATAAATTAAACTTACCTTGGAGATATATTGTTTCCTCTCTGACAGATCATGCTTTACCCAATTCAAGACTGCTGTGAAAACATCTTCTTCCGATGATATATTAAGCTGACTGTTCGATATAAGTTTCTCCACCTTTAGGAAAAATAAAATTGTTGACTATTTCTTTTTGTAATAAGAGGGTCCAAGACATTAAATTGTCTTCTCATACAGTTTTCCTTCAATTTGTCAATTAATTATTTATTTTCAAAGTAGCGTTGCTCGGTATTCAATAATACAAAACAACAGTAACTTATTTAACCAATTTAATGTCTTTTAAGTACTTGAATAATAAATTAGGTAAATGTTCCGATAAAAAGGGATTTTTTATTCGGCAACCTTCGTGAGAAAAATTAATAAATTTCATAAAGCTGCTTTATTGATTACTGATCATTTTTATTACTTCCAAGATGTTTTCGGCGTTCTATAGTTTTCCTATTAAACATATATTTAGTTGAATAAGAATTGATTTTCGCTACGTAAATAAGTCAATTTAGTTGTTATGCCATTAGGTTGTTGGAGGAATGTAATTTTGACACACAACAAGAGGGGGATGATGCTACATATAATACATTATTCATTTGGGGAAGTTTTTGTTAGGTCGATGTCTGTTTGATTGTTCTCCCGCACAAAGAAGGTTCTCTTAATAAAACAGAACAACAAAAGTCTACACGATTATAGAAAATGTGTTCTTACATTCGAAGAAAAAGAATGTAACTCATTTATATCACATTCTTTTCATAAAAAATTTAGAAATGAGATAAAAGAATGAAGTCTTGTATACTTCGTTTAGTTTCTGTCGCGATGTGACCTTCAGTTTGACCGGCGCAAAGTAGAAAAGAACAGCATTAGGCCAGAAAAGAAAGGAGACAACTCTCGGCCAAACTCTTAACCGGTGAGGAGCGTATAATCCGTACAGTACTGCATGGAAAAATTGACCATTTTATCCACTACAATTGCATTGCTCAAATGTGCTGTTATTGGTACTATTTACTACTGAAAATATCAACGAGATGTTTATTTATATTTAAAGACATACTAAAGGCTTTAAAGCTTGTTTTCGACTCGCACTACTATTCATGATCGAACAAAACTTTTGGCAGGTACTGTATGAAAAAGTATGTTTAATGAACAAGAGTCGAGAGTATAATGAGCTTTTTTCTCCCCTTCTACGATTTTGCCAGCGCGCATCCAAGACATTGGAAAGGGCACATCTCTAGAGAAAGTAAATGAAGTATACCTTCTAGATTATTTGTGGAATTCTAAAAACATTTCTTTTTTGTAGTTTTTCAACCCGATGCTTAGTTATAAAGTAACGAACAATTAAAGTTATTAAGACAGTTAACCAATCGCACCGCAGTGCCTTTGCTGCAAGCACGAACAAAAGCTGAAGCAAACAAAGCACGCTTTGATTGACTGATTATTTCAAACATTAATACTTAATAACTTCATAGTTAAGCATCGCATTGGAAAACTGTAAAAGAACAAAAGTTTTAAAATTTCTTAAGAAAGAAATGCTTCGTATACAATCACATTTCTGCTCGTCTGTTTATTATTATACAGTACGTATTTCGTAATGCATTACATATCTACATTAAATAGCGTTCAAAATTAAGTTTACCTCGTTGAAGGGCAACAATAAAAATTCCTCGGTGCCTACAACTTGCTGGAAGTTTTGGAGAGCAAAACAATGAGACTTGTGGTGTAGTTCTGTGCACGAATGAATATCTAAAACAGAGACGACATTAATAGTAAAAGTCCTTGCTAGTAATTTTTGTCATCATCAAGAAGATACGACGTAAATGTCGTATTCATAATGCTTTATGTATTAGATCGTTATCAAAATGATCCGTTCTCGAGAAATCGCCAGTGGATCAAGGTCACCTCGGAACGCAAATGGTCATCGATTACCTACTTTATTTGTGTTGAAAATTAATAATATGTATCAACAAATCAATAAGTTTGGCAAAAGTTTAACACAGAAAATTGCTTAGATTTACTAGGTATATAGATACACCAACTATTTCGGAATTTAGATCATAAACTGCTTTATGATATATATAGACGGTAAAGGTTTAGATGATGGCCCACACCTCCGAAGGGGGTGGTGTTAGGGGGTATCGAAAGAGGAGGTCACCCCTACCACTGTACTATAAAAAGTTCGTGGCGGTCTCACCACCATAAAAAGTTATGGGGGTTCAAAGTTAATAAATATGCCAATTTTTATACATATCTAGGCATGTAAATATTTATATAGTCATTCTTAAACAATATTAAAAGGTAAAACTAATGAAAAATACATAAAAACATTGAGAAAGTTATATAAAACATTATTTAAATAACTTTTCAATAGGTTAGGTTAGGTTAGATTAGGTTAGGTTATTGGGTTTCGTTCAAATGACCACCCTCCTTCGATCCCCCATCGAAAATAATTTTTTTATTGAATTTTATTTGAATTATAGTGTATGAAAATTGTCAAAATAATCAACTTTTAACCCCCATAACTTTTTATGGGGGTGAGGCCGACGCAAATTTTTTATGGGGTTTTACTCAGGTGACCACCCTCTTTCGACTCCCCCTACCCCCACCCCCTTTGGGGGTGTGGGCTATCATCTAACCCTCATTACTTTTTATGGGGGTGAGACCGCCACGAACTTTTTATGGTACAGTGGTGGGGGAGACCTCCTCTTTCGTCCCCCCCCCCACCCCCTTCGGGGTTGGGGTCCATCATCTAGACCTTTACCATATCGACTATATACCTATCTGATGTGGAAACCGACCATCAAATAATTCTTACCAGCAAAACTCCTTATTCCTAAACAATTGGTTGGATGAAGCTGTTTCATTAAAAATTTGCAACAGGCTTCTCTCACAGTTTGTATTTGTAATATGCTGCTTGCCGGTAATAACACTTGAACATTATCAGGTGTAATAATGACTTTTCCTGTGTAAGCGTATTCAATTAACAATTCCACAGCAGTCGCATCCATGTCATGTAGAACAATATCTGTTCTCGTCTGTTCGACCATATCCCCTAAAATAATTTGGTAATTGATTCTTAACAAAAGGATTAAGGGTGAATAATTTTGGGAATTCTAAGAAAAATTTTCCCATGAAGTGTTTTAATCCAGTGCAATTAACCAAGCACGTGTAGGTCAAATCACAGGGCCGTTAGAAAATAACAGATGCAGAACCATGAATAATGATTAGACATTGGATTAAGAAATTGATAAGAAGCAATATCTTAGAATTTTGAAAACAATTGAAAGATATATGCATATTTTTTATAATATTTTTGAAACACCACTTGATATAAGGAAACTCCAATTTCATATTTATAATACGATTGGGCATGGACAAGTTGCGCCCTGCGGTCAGTCTCTAGATGAAATTATTTAATCTACAAAAAGGATATGCTATAGTTGCGCCCCAATGTCCCATTTGTATATAATTAGGTAGGTACCTAGGTATATACCTTTATGATATTTTGGTATAGAAGATTGTTCTTATATAGTTTATAGGGTGAATCTGCATGTTCGTCGACCTGCTTTAGATTTCGACCACTTTTTAAACGCCAGTAACAAGTAAAAGAAACCGCCAAACATGATTAATGATTTTATTGAATTAGTTTGCGTCCACTTATATCCTATATAAAACTGAGGTGGCTCTATTCAAATGTATGTGTCAAATAAGTACACTTTAGCACATACGTGGAAGGTAGAAAAAAATATTAAAATTTGCATTTCCTTTTATAAAAACCATTTGTCTTAATTCGTTTATAAGCAGTCGAGAACCAACATCAAAGTGATCGACAATTGCAGTGGTCTTCAACAGGCTAAAGGTGCATTTTTTAGAATATCATTAATTGATTAAAAATAGGACGCATAGAAGGAAAATGGCGTTTTTTGAAACTACAGTAGAATAAAAAAAATTATTGATAGATACTTTCGTAAAAAATGTAGTAACAATGAGTAAATATGACTTTTATTAACTATTGTTTCTTTTGTTATATATTTTATTAAGAAAGCAGTTGCTTAAAAGATTTTTCTTCTGTAATATAGCAAACAACTAGGTAAGTAATCAATGGAATTATCAACTAAAATAAAGCCACGCTAGTGTTATAATGGAGTAATTGATACAGCGTGTAATAATTATTATTAGCAGTGTTGCTCTTTGTTATAGACTTGTATTAAAATTACTGAGTACCTATTAAAATCGTTTACAATGCCTACATTTATGGCTATTGTAAATTATTTGTAACGAATTTTAAATAAATATCGAAACCTAATAATGTTCTCATTTCAACAGGTATATTACTTGATAAAAAATTTATTTAAAAATTAAAAAAAAAAAACAAAACGTTGATGAAAATAAATTTTCTTTTACTTGGTACTTTAAATAGTATTTATTATTACTATTGTCCTTATACTCCTTATGTTTGGGAATATTAATAAAATAAAAGGGAGAGGTTTTTATTAACATTTAACTTATTATTTATATCTTTATTTCATTGTTCTTTCTGTATTGATCGTATATTTATGAAAAGGGTAATGATAGAAATCTAGACAAAACCTTTGGCATGTAGCAATAAAACGGAAGTTTTGCCACAAAAATTCTAACGATTATCGCCACGGTTTTATAAGTGCATTAACCCCAAATAACTTTAGTAGCTAGAGTTTGATTTTGCTTTTTTATTGCGTATAAAATTATTTTATGATGAACCACACTTAAACAATAAATAAGAAAAATAAACAGAAAGTCGTTTGATAAACCAGCTAGAAAAAAGGTAAGAAAAAGAAAACAAAAGTTCTCATTAATAAAAAAGTTGGAATTTGGAAGACCAGAAATGAAAGAATAAAATTTCTACCTGTTCATAAATTAGCATTAATTAATACAAAAATAAAAAATAAAACGACACTACAAACAAAGTAGTTGAGCCTAATTATTATTATACAATATGAATTAAATGATTTTGGTCAAATAAGTACTTTAGTACTTTTTAAGAAGGATTAATGTACGTATATGTATCATTCTTCATAATTCAAATCGTAATTGTAATAACTGTCCTTCAACAGTTGACATTGTCCTTTAACAATAATTTAATAAAATACATCACGTCATATTCCTGAAAATATAAAGTTATTATCTGATTTAACTCCTATAAAATGTTGCAGATATCAATTATCGTACTGCAAACAAACCAAGAAACTATTAAAAGCTAAAAATTTAAACTTGATTTAGCAATTAAATTTTGTATCTTTCACGTATATTCAGTTTAAAAATATTTGTAGAAAAATTGCAAAATTGACGATGTAAAAGCAACTTGAGAAATTGGAAGAATTAACTAAATAAAAAATATAACTGAATTTTTTTTTAAACTTTACTGGAATATTTAAAAGTCTTTGAAGTTCTTACAATTCATATTGATATCTAAATAACATAAAATAAAATAAATGAATAGTAACTAGCGTTTAAATGAGATCGTAGATTCTCAAATACTTAAATGTAAGTTTTATAAAATGCTGTAGATGTCACCCAAAGTACTACAGGTTAATAAAATTATTTATATTATAATAGAGTAGAAGATATATATCTTTACAATTTCCAACACTCTTTCTTCAAGGATATTTAGTTTGGTTTCACTAAAAAGATGTATCTTCTTACAATTATTTTAAGATGACCTAGCTGTTGAAATACTATACACTCGTCAGTAAATTCATTTAGGAAATTTAAATCAATCGCAAGTTTACCAGAATAATCCTTCTACCAAGTTCTAGAGGGTGATATTTTAGGCAGGTACTTCTAAAGAGTTTAATTGTTTTAATTTAACGAAAATGTTAAATTTTACTCAATGTCGAATACCAATACCTTTGTTTATTTAAAGGTGAAAATTTAACAGTTTCTAAATTTTGGTGTAGACTGAATTATCTACGATACCAATAAGGATGTTATTAAGTATCCCTAATAGTGTACCCTTTTATTACAATGTCTATAATTTATCTCATTAAGTCCAATTTGTCAGATAGACAAATAGCCAGTTTTAAAACGTAAAATAATTATAATGTAAATAGTTTTAAGAATATAAATCCGTCATTTTTCTGGGACTCTAATTTAAGATAGATTGTTAAAAAGGCCGACGTTGTGGGCGTTAATAAGAGTTAACTTAAAAATAAGTGTTAGGTCATGCTTATTTCAAAAGGTACTAAAATTAAAAAGCTTATCAGGACGTCTCATCCACTTGATCTGTATTTAAATGGCTAATAAAATTTACATAATTTATGCAATAGACATACATGTGGTGTTTCAAAAATATTAATACATATCATTAGATACCTATGTAGATATTTTAATGCTTTTTCTTTAATTCGAAGTTTATCATTAAATCAAATATAATTTTGCATTTAGACTTCTACCCTTTGAATTTTATGAATTGTTCGAGAACAACAACATAATCGTATATGCAAGAAACATTAATTGAATATCAATGAATGAATCAAATAAGGGTGGTAATTTTAACATTACGCGATCGTAAATATTACGTTGATGACTCATACGAGAATGCAATACGAAAAAATTTCAAGAAGGTTCCGGAACTGCTATTTCAGAAAAACTCGAGAATATTCCGAAACAACAACAAATGACTGGTGAAAATAAACCCAGTTCAAATAAATAAAAATTATACAAGAAAATTCATTACTGTATTATTTTACAAACTATACGCATACATCTATTATGTGACCCATGGAATAGTCCAGGAATGTACTTACCATTGAACATTGCGAAAAAATAAGGGCTTACAGCCGCTAAAACGACTTTATGGGCTCTAACAGACTCTACTCCTATATTTAACGTAACATCACATAGCTAAAATAAACATGGCATTAATGAATCTTGAATTAACCACTTGTAAAAGTTAAAAAGTCTAACATAAAACATAACACACTTACTACTACAAGACATGCTAAAAATAAACTATGCCTTAAACTTTACCGCTTTATTATTATACGCTAACTACTTATTGTTAGATCAAAGAACCTTGCTCTTCATAAAGAGGGTACTTTCGAAAACCATCAAATTACATTAGAACTCGACAAATTTAACTTAAATACGTGTTTAATCGCTTTCTAAAGAAACTGAAAGTAAAGCATTCATTTTATTTTGTTAACTCCTGTTTCTGCTTCTAATATGTCTCTAACTAGTCCTTCATGTTTGAAAAGGTTTCCCACTAATCTATCTCGCCTATTTCCCAATTGATTTCCTATTGACTCTGTTTTCCTACTCCTTCTAATACCTCCACATTTCTAACCTTCTCTATCCACGGTATCCTCATCATTCGCCGCCTTAACTTTTCCTTTCCACCACGCCTGCTATCCACGTCTTGCACCCGTACAACACCGTGCTTCAGACATACCTACACCTTTTTTTTTAATTTCTAAGTTAACCGTTCGCGAACATAGAAATCATCTTCTTATTGAACGCGCCTCGAACCTCTGTTTTATATCACTCCTGTTTCTTCCATTCCGAGTTATCCTGACTTCGGAGACACCCAAAGTCATCATCATCATAAGGTCGTCAGTCCTAAGATTGATTGGATACGCACCTCCAATCTTTCCTATCCTGAGCTAATCTTCGCATTTCCCTAAAACTAGAACGTCCCATATCCTTAACTATTTGAGAACAGTAATCTAATGTAAGTCTACTTCTAGTCCTCTTAAACCCCTGTTTCTGCTTCTAATATGTCTCTGACTAAAACTTCATGCCTGAGAAGGAGTCCTACCAATCTATCTCGCCTATTTCTTATTGACATCCATAGAGTCCTCTGTTTTCCTATTCTTTCATACAAAATACTGGTTTGTTAATACCTTTTTATCCTATTTAAGGCTATCCCCAAGTCCTCTTTGCCTAGATACTATTACTGTTATATCATATCATCTACAAATCTAAGCATACTAGTCTTTTGCCCTATATATCTATCCCCAAAGTCGTCCTGTCTTTAACGAGGCTTTGAATCATCTATACGAAAAGGAAATGATAGCCAAATAGAAATTCCATTAGCGATTTAATCCTTTTACTAATTGACTTTTAATCGATCACGCAACTCTAATTATGTAGAAATGCGTGGTACTTGTTTATTGACGCTCTTTAATTTTTGGATCATTGTCTAAATTTACTGACCTAAAAAGCTGGCAATAAACACTATGAACTTTAGAGATGCATAGGTCAGCACCTGATTAATTGCTTTTACCATGACACTGTATTAATGTTGGTTCCTTCAAATCTAGACTACGAGAGAAATACGACACAGAAGCGAACAAACACTTGTTTTGGATTAGCATCTGAGTACTATAGGTAGGTAAAAAATAACCGCTAAAGTTTTATTATCTTACCGTGTAACAGCTTTTGTTTTGTAAGAAGTGCGCAACGTTGAGATAAAGCTGCATAAAAGGTAAGTATGTATTCTCGTGCGCCATTTTGGATCCACCTGACACTCAGTACCGCCTTTACCAAAAAGCCCCGGTCCTTACGAAGGCCCCGGAAGGCCGATATTATTTGCTTGTATTACTCTTTTTTTCCGAATGCGGAATGCACCCTAATTAATTACACTACAACACCATCTATCCTGATCCTGATCCTAGTACGGACTGTGATAAAATTTTAACGGAAGAAGTACTCAAAAAATTAGACACTTCACAAACAGAATAGCTCAAAACCCCAACGCCAAAACACGACACTGTAGTTGTCCGAAGCACTTTTCGGTAACAAAGTTACCTTCTTCAGGGACTGAAGTAAACTAAG